CAAGGAAGTGTTGAAAGCAAAGAGCTTTTTATTATTTGTTACAGGTAAGGAGACAGCAAGATAGCTCTCAAAACACTATGTCCTTGTGGGGTTAGTACAGGAAGCTTCTATTCAGTGTATTACGGGGTAGGGGCAAGGACCTTGCATATACGTTTTTGGGGAAGAAGAAATTCTTCTGCTCTTCATGGTCCTTCTAGCTTGACTAAGAATCAAATTGACATGAGACTGATTAACAGGAGAAAGTGAAATTAAATAGGTGTACCTATGGGGATTCCACACAGACATGGAAATTCCAAAGACAATGAGGCAACTTGAAGCTTCTATGAACTAGAGAGCTGGTAGGGTCTAAGGATATAAAGGGGCGGAAGGCCATTAGCAGGAAGATGAAAATGAGATATTTGAAAAACAAAGTTGCCCTATTATGTAGTTGAGTTTCTAAGGTAAAGAGAAATTTCTGTTAATAGTTCTCTTTGATGAAAAAGCAGGCTAATGAATATCAGGCAAGCCATTAAGGGGAAGGTAAAGAGCTTCTCCTCAATTGGCTGGATTTTGATTGTTTTTAACTCAATGTTCATGTCAAAGTGGCCCATTTTTAGGAGGCATGTCTCCCACAACATTAAAGAACTCATACATATTCTATTATTTATGCACTTCAGTTAAATTGTGCATGCCTAGCACATCAACCTGCTAGTGCATGCATCGTATGTTCAAAAAATGGTGGCAAACTACCTATAGGAGAAGATCTTAGTTTTATAATGAGCTAAAGATATCTTCGGGACAACTCAGGGGGCCTTCTGTGCAGGTCCTCAGTAAGAGGCTATCAGGTGAGACATACATAGCAAGGGGCTGTCAGGTGAAATACCTAACCAGTGTGTCCTTGGCTGAACCTGTTGGTTCTGCAAAATAAAACACATTCTTCCCTGCTTTTGCCCCTTACCGCTCTTCCCTTCTGATAGATTTTAGCCCTTTGATTTGAATAGCTTCTTATTGCATCTTGGCTAACAGTACCAGCCAAATGAAAAAACATGTAGGGTGAAATATAATTAGAAGGTCAAGTGAAGCCCTTATACCAGAACATATTAAAACTTCAGGAATTTCATGTAATTTCTAGAACTATAGCACTTACCTGAACAACATAAGAAATTTTATCATTGTTTGCTTAACAGTGCTTCCCATGTAATGTAACATACCAAATAGACAAGCCTAATTAGTCAAAAAGACTTTATGATTAAAATCTGGGGGAAATTTCAAAGTACATTCCTAGATAAGATCACAGATGATTATAAATTTAATATTTACATTTAACCAAGGTGGCAGTGAGGGATTGTATAGGAAGTTACATAGTTGTTAGCAAAACCCAGCTTCTTTAATACTGACAAGTTTCATTTCTATTAAGTAATCAAAGACCTGATAAAGACAACACATAGAAGCTTTAGTTTTCTGGGCAGATCAAGAAGAAAAAAACTTTGTTTACACTTTCTTACTAAGAGCAGACCAACAAAGAAAACTTTCTCTTTTTAACAGAGAGAAAGGCAGATTTTTATCTTTACCAGTGTTCTTTTATTATTTTATTTATTTTTTATTTATTTTTAAATGTTTATTTACTTCTGAGACAGAGAGAGAACATGAGTGGGGGAGGGGCAGAGAGGGAGACACAGAATCCAAAGCAGGCTCCAGGCTGTGAGCTGTCAGCACAGAGCCTGATGCGGGGCTCGAACTCACAAACCGTGAGATCATGACCTGAGCCAAAGTCGGTTGCTCAACCGAATGAGCCACCCAGGCGCCCCACTAGTGTACTTTTAAAATCCATCCATTTCGGGGTGGGAGGGAGGAGAGGGTGGGTGATGGGTATTGAGGAGGGCACCTTTTGGGATGAGCACTGGGTGTTGTATGGAAACCAATTTGACAATAAATTTCATATATAAATTAAAAAAAAAAAAAAAACAACTTTCTCAAAGTAAAACAAACAAACAAACAAAAAACCAATAGTGATGTAATGGGACAGATGGTAGCTATACTTGTGGTGAATATAGCATAAGCTTGTCAAATAACTAACTTGTACACCTGAAACTAATGTAACAGTGTGTCAACTATACTCAAATTTAAAAATAAATAAATAAATAGATAAATAAATAGATAAATAAATAAATTAATTAATTAAAAAAAAAAAGTCCTAAACAGGTTCATCATTTAGGCTGTTTCCAGTTTTTACTTATCACAAACAAAGGTGCTATGAACAGTCATCTACCAAAAAAAAAAAAAAAAAAAAAAAAAAAATCCATCCATTTCGGTCTTAGTCCTGACCACCAAAATCTTCTCCAAAGATTTTCCTTCACAAACCTTCTAAAACTTTCTTTTTCTGTCAACAAAATGTATTCTTATTTCTTATACCTTCCTTACACATTTCTGACTTCTGTGCATACAAAGTTGCTTTCCTTATCATTTCCATCAGTCCTAATTACATTTAGCAGAATTTTAACTTAGAAACCTTAGTCTCCAGTGAAAATTAAGTAGTAACCAATTGTGAACTATCTGTCACATAACAATTCCCTAGATTGGCAAATTTATAAATGCTTTTCATAATCTCTTTTTTTTTAATTTTTATTTTTTCAACATTTATTTATTTTTGGGACAGAGAGAGACAGAGCATGAACGGGGGAGGGGCAGAGAGAGAGGGAGACACAGAATGTGAAACAGGCTCCAGGCTCTGAGCCATCAGCCCAGAGCCTGATGCGGGGCTCGAACTCACGGACCGCGAGATCGTGACCTGGCTGAAGTCGGACGCTTAACCGACTGCGCCACCCAGGCACCCCTCTTTTCATAATTTCTAAAAATATATGTTTTCCCATAGTACAATCTTTCAGTAAGGCATAAAACGTGTTTACCAACAGACTCAAGTATCCTCAGTTTCTCCATGATGAGAGGCCAAAAGCACAAACTTATTCATTAACTCATGCTTTAGTATTTTATCTTCTTTGGAAAAGATTTAGATAGCCAGTGAGTTCAACCCAACTTATCATTTAACTTAGCAAAACTTTATAAAGTTTCAGGTTACCAGAGATTTTGAAAGCTACTTAAAAATTTTACCTAGTGGCACATGGGTGGCTCAGTCGGTTGAGTGTTGGACTTTGGCTCAGGTCATGATCTCGCAGTCTGTGAGTTCAAGCCCTGCATCGGGCTCTGTGCTGACAGCTCAAAGCCTGGAGCCTACTTCAGATTCTGTGACTCCCTCTCCCTCTGCCCCTCCCCCACTCATGCTATGTCTCTCTCTGTCTCTCTCTCTCTCTCTCTGTCAAAAATAAATAAACATTAAAAAAATGTTTTTTATACCTACTTGTTCTTAACAATTACCCATGAAAACTCTTATGAGACAGACAAAATTAACCATCATTTTAAGCCATTTTTGCTGACAAATTGCAACAGAGATAACATGAGCTTATTTGACCTTTAGTAAACCTTGGTGAAATAGTTTTATATTTAATGTTGATAACTCTATAGACATGTCTATCATAATTAAACTAACAAACTTACATTAGCCTTAATACAGAATATGTTGCACCAATGCCCAGTAAAAGTCAATCAATTGTTTCCCCATGATTGATTTTACTTGGGGCACCTGTGGGGAAATCTAAAGTGGACAGTTTAAGTCCAGGGGAATTCTTGGGCCCCTTCATACTGATTTGGGAAGTGCTTCAGCTTGAACCTCATAAGGAGGTGGCCTAACAGCTTAGAGTGCTCTTTGCTCCTTGTGAGGGAAGGAGGAACAAGAGCCAATGGCACTGGAGGATGGTATCAGAGCCAGTTGATTCAAGCCATGACCATGGTGGTGCAGAAACAGCAGGAGGGGGAAGTGGGGGCAGAAGAGGTGAGGTGCCACCATCAGGGCTGGAGGTGGATAAAAGGCCAGACAGAAGAAAGAGGACTCCAGGTCCTAAAGCTCATCAACTTGGACAGATGAACAGATGCACGTTTTCTTTCCATCAACAAAAAGTGAAAACAAGGCAGTCCATGTTCAGATGGAGAAAACAGGGAAACAAAAGGAGTTTCAGCAGCTGCTTGGAAATATTCCTTAAAGTCCCCATCCTGAGGTAGACTAACCGCAGACAATTGGCTCCAATTATCATAGCCATTAACCTGGAAACGAATAAGGGAGAAGCCCCCACATACAACAAGTGTCAGACAACATTCATCTAGTCCTCTCAAGATGTATTTCAAATCTGATACACACAGAAGAAGAAGCAAAAAAGAGGAGATGAATTACTCAGGACAAAAAGGGAGGCATGTACATGATCTTGGCAGCAACCTGTTTTTAAGAGAGGCAAAAAGGGGGCACAGAGAGAACATGACAGAACACAGATGATATAGCGGATTAACAGAAGCTTCTACTTCTGTAGAAACAGCTGAACTCATGGTGGATTTGAGGAGTAGAGGGGGAAGAGAGGGGTGTTCTCAGGCCCCCTAAAGAAGTATGGACAGATCAGGATTTGGGTACAGGGCCATAACAACCTAACCATACAGCATTTTGGTCAGTTTTTCTGGTCATACTTCTCCATCCTCTAGTTTATATTGAGGCCAACATAGTTACAAAAGAAGCAGATTTGGGAAGGAAGCATATGAGGTGTTGGAGTCAAACTGTTTCCAGTTTCTCAAGATACATCCAACGAGAGTGTTGGATAAGGATTAAGGGTTTAGAGGAAAGATAAACAGTGAGTCTCCTGGGCTAGAGGCATCCTTGCTGAACCCCAAGAACATTGCCTTGGATAGGCTGGGCCCCTGGGGCATCTCTTTGGATCCATCAAACTATCATCCCTGGTGCAGGTGGGCATCCCCGCCCAACCTGCTTACCTCTTTGGCCTGGCATGCAGCCTGAAGAGGGAACCCCTGCCAATCCTTCTTTTCAATCAACATGAGTTTCCTTGGGAAATGGGAGAAAAGTCTCCCCTACACTGAGATTGCATTTAATCTGGTGAACCAATGGTTTTTGTTTCTTTCTTTTTTAGGCCTTTTCCCCCAGTAGATCAGAAGAAAGAGAGAGTAGAACAAAGGAGAACAGTGACTACGCAATTCTCCAGCACAAGAAAGGCAAGAGTTGGAGACTTACTGATGAAGAGGTCCCTTCATGGTCACCAAAAAGATGTTGCCGGGTAAACTGGGGAGACCACAGGCCCTGGAGCCTCAACCCAGCCAGACCCAAACGAATTGCTGAAGGTTCTTGGTCATGGAAAGGAATTCAAGGACAGACATGTAGCACAGCAGATGAGTAACAGAAACAGGAAAGTTTATTAAAGTAAAAAACACTCAGGAGTTCTGAGAGGGGAAAGCAAGCTGCACATCCTGGGGGTTGGGTTTCGACCTTTTATTGACAGTTGTTAACTAGGGGGCAGAATATTTATTATTTGGGGTGGGAAGTAGGGTTTTGAACTTTTTCTTTTCTTGTCTTTATTTATTTATTTATTTATTTATTTATTTTTTAATGCTTATTTATTTTTGAAAGAGAGAGACACAGAGCATGAGCAGGGGAAGGGCAGAGAGAGAGAGAGGGAGACACAGAATCCGAAGCAGGCTCCAGGCTCCATTCTGTCATCACAGAGCCTGATGCTGGGCTCAAACCCATGAACTGCAAGATCATATGACCTGAGCTGAAGTTGGTGGCTTAACCAACTGAGCCACCTAGGCACCCCTGGAGTTTTTTCTTTAAATCCAAATTGACTCCAATGTGTTAGGAGACAGCCAAAGAGAGAATCCTTCCTTTGGGATTGAGGAAGTTGATCCCATAGTTAAACCTTACAAAGCAAAAAGAGTACATTAACTAAGAGTCCATTACTAAAATCCCCCTTGGTTTCCGAATGGTATCCCATCAGGAATATTGCCGAATGTTCCTGGAGTACAGAGTGGCAAGAGGCATCCCTCTTCTTGACCACTCTAACACCTCTGTACTACCTGAGAGGGAATGTCGACCTCCCTTCACTTCCCTCCTGCATCCTAGGCTACATTAGGGGCCGGTAGATGGACTGAAATACAACAAACACTGAGGCTGCCTCTTTCAATATTGAGGGAGTAAATATATTTGGCAACGAATAATAATACCCCTTGCAAGCTTCTAGTTATAGTGTTAATGGATGGGGTAAAGGTCCTGGCCTTTGTTGAGAAAGGCAGCTATTTCATATCATATCAAACATCATATATCTAAGCTAAAAGTACTTTCAATCTGAGACCAGGAATGCCAAACAGCCCATGGGGAAGGACAAATGAGAGACATGAGAAAACAAAAGTGTGGAACTCCTAGTTCTAATCTGGGCAACTTTCTTGTGAGCTTTATCCATGGAGCGGTCCCAAAGGAGCGGTCCCCTGTTGAGTGAATGACCCAACTGTGTAATAGCTCGAACCAGTCCCTTTCGGGATGTATGAGGTTGGACTTAACTTGGATTTTATGCTCATTGAGGGATCCTGCCAGGTTGTTTTGGAGGAAACCTTACAGGCAAGTCTTAGGATCAGCGGCTACCTAATAGCATGTATGGCCATCCTTTGTCCAAAGAATACAAGTATTAAAAGAACAAGTAAAACAAGGAGATCCTGATTTCTGAGCCCAATGCTATTACAGCCAAGATACTAGTGTCTGGCCAGATGGCAGGAATTTGTCTCTCCCCATAGTGTAGCCACAGGCAAGAGGTTCTCTCCTGAGCATTTGGACAAGGCATCTTCTGAAGGGTTGTATTATTCAGGTAATCTCTGAAAAAGAAACAAAGAAGGCTTACCAAGCTACTTTTGGATTCACTTTGTCACTGTCACCATAATAGGCCACCAAAACTGATGTTGGGGTCATGGAGTACAATGGTCAAGGAATAATTCTTGAGATGTTTATGGTGCAACTTAGTAACTTTATTTAAGTAGCATGGGGACAGGACCCGTGGGCAGTAAGAGCTGCACTGTTTGCTGTGTAAGGCTGGTGGTTATATACTTAGTAATCAAAGGGGAGGGGGCATGTAGGAAGAGAGTATCAGTTACAAAAGTTTCTTTGAATTTCTTTGAATTTGTACTCCTAAAACTACTTTTGCAAAGTTCTTCTGGTGCTTATCATTCAGTTCAATATTAACTATTGGTGAGATATACAGGCAGTCATGAGACCCTTAAAGAATGTAGCAACCAGCAGGTATTTGATCCTTATTGAAACAGTGTAGGCATTAGGTCAACCTTCAGGGCAAAGGGCAAACATCTCTCTGCTTCTGTCCCTCATCATAATGACCTTATATTCATAGATAACTTGGGAGAAACTTGTGTATAATATTAAGGATTCACATTCAAGTACTTGTGGTATTTGCATTAATGTTTATGGACCTTCAAAAACATTTGTAATCTTTCCATGGATGTGAACGTTTCTTTTCAGTATGTTTCAAGTATTTTATATATTGATATTGTAAATGATAATTTTTTGAATTATATTTTCCAACAGGCTGTTGTTGGTAAATGGAAAATCTATTGCTTTTATATTTTATTTTGTTATTACCCACATTTCTGAACTTAATGGTTTTTCAGTTTACTCTCCCAATTTTTAAGGAAGATAATTAAGTCTCCAATAAGAATACGTTAATTGCTTCTTTTCCAATGTATATTTAGGCTCTTTAATTTTATATTATCTTATTATATTGGATATGACTATCTAGAAAATATAAATAATAATAGTGGTTATAGTGGGAAATTTGTTTAATTCTTGATATCATAGGAATAGTTCAGTAAGTGTTATGTTGATGGTTGATTTGAAATGGACATTCTTTAGCATAAGTATCTTTCTATGCCTAGGTTCTGATGATTCATTTGTTTTTGTATCTATACAGGATTGATTGTTCAATTTTATCAAGTGTCAATAATAAAAATGACCATGTGGTTTATTTCCTTTGGCCTATAAGCATGATAAATTTGAATATACTTTAAAATATTAAGCTATCTTTGCACTCTTGATTGGTCACAGTGTATTATTTTTTTGCTGTTTCATACTAAATTTTTACATTCTGTATTGAGACTCTGGAAGTCTTAAAACTTTTTTCAGAAACTCTTCCTATATCCAATATGCTCCTAAACCAACCTCTCAGAAGAAAAACACTTTTTTCCCTTTGTACTTTGTCCAATATCAAAGGAAACTTCCAAGTTCCAAGTAGGTCAGGCTACTAATACCTACAAATCAATTCTTATAAAGTCATCTTACTAAGTAATTACTCTCTACTATACATTGGCTTAAGATAAATATTTTATTTAAGCTTTAAATCTATCCTTAGTTTCTCATCAAAAATATACTATAGTGAGAAATCAACAAAATCTTAAACAATATCCCTATAACAAAGACCTTTACAGCTGTTGAAAAAACTCTCTGCCTGTGATGATAATTTTCAAACACACACAAAAGTAGTAAGAGGAGTATAATGAATCTTCCTATGTCCATCACAAAGCTTCAATAACTGCCAAAATTTGGCCATTCTCACAACCTATTCTTACCACTTTTATTTTTTTCTGGAGATTAAAAAAAATTTTTTTTTTAATGTTTATTTATTTTTGAGACAGAGAGAGACAGAGCATGAACGGCGGAGGGTCAGAGAGAGAGAGACACACACACAGAATCTGAAAAAGGCTCCAGGCTCCGAGCTGTCAGCACAGAGCCCAACGCAGGGCTTGAACTCACGAACTGTGAGATCATGACCTGAGCCGAAGTCGGACGCTTAACCGACTGAGCCACACAGGCGCCCCTGGAGATTTTTTTAATGTTTTTTTTTTAACGTTTATTTTTGAGAGACAGACAGAGACAGAGATAGAGCATGAGCCGGGGAGGGATAGAAAGAGGGGGAGACACAGAAACTGAAGCAGGCTCCAGGCTCTGAGCTCTCAACACAGATCCCAATGTGGAGCTCAAAGCCATGAACCGTGAGATCATGACCTGAGCTGAAGTCGGATGGTTAACCAACTGAGCCACCTAGGCGCCCCTAATGCTTATTTATTTTTGAGAGAGAGAGAGAGACAGAGAGAGAAAACAAGGTGGGGAGGGGCAGAGAGAGAGGGGACCTGAGGATCTGAAGCTGGCTCTGCACTGATAGCAGTGAACCTGATGTGAGGCTCAAACACATGAACCGTGACATCATGACCTCACCTGATGTCAGATGCTCAACCGACTGAGACCTCCCAGTCAATCCTGGAGATCTTTCAACACAAATTCCAGATATCATAGTATTTCATCTATAAATTCTTCAGCATTATACCCGATTCTTATTGAGTTCCTGCAAACTGAGAGCATAATCACAAAGCACAATTCATCATAAAGGTTTAAAACAGTGTGAACAAAATTCACAGTGTTGTGAATGTCTGGAACTACATAATCCACAAAACTGGGTACTGCATACCCTTTAATGAATCCCACATGGACTTTGTTTTACTTACATGAGTTTTTGGTAAGAATTAGGGAGAGGGAACAATGTTCAAGGTTATATGTTTTGGCAATAACTTAAGAGTGTAAATTATTTTTGTTGCCAGTTACGAGAGGTCCAGTGAACAGAAAGTAGATTTGGCATCCTTGTAGAAAAATTATATAGCCTAACCAGAATTCATGACACCTAGTCTCTGCACATGAGCTCTTGACAGGATTCACTAAGCTGAACTGTCTCTCCTCAGAATGGTGTCTCTTAAAAGTGGACAGCCAGAGTGAAGGAGCCAGATAAAGAAGAGTACATCCTTCATGATGTCACTTATATGAAGGTGTAGAAAATGCAAATTAATCTATAGTGTTGGTAAGAGGATCAGTGGATGCTTGGGAATGGGTGTGGGGAGGAGCAGAAAGAAAGGAATTACACAAGGGAATGAAAACTTCTGGGATGTTCACTTATTAATTTTTTTTCAACGTTTATTTTATTTTTGGGACAGAGAGAGACAGAGCATGAACGGGGGAGGGGCAGAGAGAGAGGGAGACACAGAATCGGAAACAGGCTCCAGGCTCGGAGCCAGCAGCCCAGAGCCCGATGCGGGGCTCGAACTCACGGACCGCGAGATCGTGACCTGGCTGAAGTCGGACGCCAACCGACTGCGCCACCCAGGCGCCCCTGGGATGTTCACTTATTGATTATGGTGATGGTTTCACAGAGATTTACATCTGACAAAACTTATCAAAGTGCAGACTTTAAATCTGTCCAGTTTATTTTATATCAAGTATACCTTCATAAATGTTTTTTCAAAAAGCACAGCTGAAGGACAGTGTGCTGGAAAGCATGCAGATGCCCTTCCAGAGGTGTGTGCTCATAGCTCCAGGCACAGGTCATAAGTGGAACTTGAAACAAGAAGAGATAGGAGTCTGCAAGCTGACAACTATGAGCCCACAAGTTAAGGAAACCACCCTCCAGGTATACAATCCATTCTTTGGGTGGAGTCCTAACTAGCCAGTTCATTGAGTCAAGGGTGGAGACCTAAGGCCTGTTGGTTCAAAAGGTTGCCCTGGAGATACAGTGCTTGCCTCCAAGGTTTTCCTGGGGTTTTCTTCAGGCAGCCTGATAAAACTCCCAGCTTCTTTGTACAACAGGACAATTTTTGTGTACCTGGACCTTGTCATGCTCAGGTGAAGCTGAGAACGTGGTGTTTGTTTCTGGCCTCTGTCTGAATATAAAAGCTAAAAAGGAATAAAGTTGAGCATGGGAATTATTTGGTACTGTATCGCTAAGAATTGTGTTGGGCATTTGGTGGAATTTAGCTATCAGGCAGAAGTTATCAGTCAGACACTAGGATCTGGAATTTTGACTGTCACTCAGGATTCTAATCTGGACAACTAAAATTTAAAACACTATTGTCAAACTTTTACATGAAAAATTGGTTCAGGTGGTGACCCAATGCATTTGGGTAGAGAGAAGCCTGATCTTGCTAGTTTCTCTCTGCCTACCTAAACAGAGTGCTTCAGAGGAAGCACACCCCACAGAAAAGGCCAGATGTATCCATTACCGGGGGTAGCTTTACTTATACCATTAGAGTCTTAACCCTTCAAAACCCTTTGGAGTCCCATCTAAAGATCTTTGTATCTCCTACTGGAAAATATTGGGGTGCTCCAGGGTCCATGTAAGTCTTGTCCTACCTGCCTTGAGCTTTTTCCTCATGCCTGAAGGTCTTTTGGCTGCCCTAAGAAATGCAGGAGACCAGTGCCTGAACCCTCCTCTTTGGAAGATGGTTGAGGTACCAGTCTAGATTTGAACGAAGCTCTAGGTCCTCAGGGGCTGGTAGAGTAGAGCATCTTACCCAAGATAACTGAAGATTGGAAGATTTGGGAGAGTAGGCCCCAGATAAAGCATGGAGAGAACTGAGCACCAAGCAAGGGAGCCTGAGTTCCCAGGCAAGTTTGGAATAGGGGAAAGAACTCAGTCAGGAGCAACAAGGAATGGGGAAAAAAATGATGGGAGATGGCTGCTCTGAACAGACTCATGCCAATATCTCTACAGGCCATAGAAACGTCATTCATGAAGGTGGCAATTTGGTTTGGAGGCAGGGCAAGCACCCACTCACATTCCTACTGCAGGGCTGTATCTCTCTTAGAGTCACCAGTGGAAGATTCTGAAGTGTTCTAGGACATTTGGCGTGGGAGGCTATTTCATAAAACCATATTGTTGGCCATACTTCCCCATGGCCCAAGTATTTGGAGATGGCCATGATGCTTGATCCTAAAAAGATCCTGGTGGCTCATGTTAGCGGCTGCTTGATATTTCCTGGAGCCTCTCAGGAGATCATACCTTCTCAGTCACTAGTAGTTGTTTGCAGCACTGTTGCACTTTGCCAGGAAAAGGCCATCCTGACTACAACAGTAGTTAGACAGTGGTCTAGAAGTGCTCCCCTTGTGGGGCTGGACAGATTCCCTCTTAGTCTTGGCAACCTTTAAAGTCACTGCCTGGATGATGCTCTGTGGTGCTGGGCTTTCGAGACTTACTGAGCACTACACCCATGGCCTGAGTTTCTAATGGTTCTTGCACATGTTTTAGGTTTCCTCTTTTTGTTATCTCTTTTTGTATTGGTGTTACTAATCATGGGAGATAGATGGGCCACTCCTGCCCACCATTCCTGACTTGATGGGGTGAGTGAGAATTGCCCTCTGTCATGTGAGAGTTCCTTTCTTTTCTACTTTTTGTGAAGAGGTTTCTAAGAGTTACACGTGGAAATTCTCCTTTGTGTTCAAACATCTGCTCTGAAATTTAATGGCATGGCCCTGTAGCTCTCCACAATCCTAAACTTTGTATACATGCCATCCCCAGCATCCTGCCCCAGAGTCCAGTCTGTACTGACACCAGGCATATTTCTGATGTGGCACCCATAAGCTTTATACTAGCCTCATTCTTTCTCTTTTCTCCTTTATGACTCTGCCACTCCTCTGGTGTCTTAAAGGAAAGTTCCAGCCAATGTTTTAAACATCTTATTCTCTGGACCTGGCACAACACTTCCATCCTTTTCATCTTTGGTCCAAAGACTGAATTTTTGGTAACTCACTGTTATAACCATTATATTGGGTAAGCAACAATCATGAGGTATGGGGTGAAGACTGCCAACTACATACCAAAATGCCCTTTTCTTCTCTGTACACAGACTACATTTCCCAGCCTCCTTTCAAACGGGTGTGGTCACATGACCAAATTCTCTCCAGTGGAAGGTGAGCAGATGTATATGCACCAAATTCCAGGTTTGTTCTATTAAAAACCTCCCACATTCCTCCTCCTTTCTCTTTCCCCCTTCTGGCTAACTGAGAGTTTGATACCCAAGATGACCTTTGAAGCCATAGTTGAAAATGGCAGAGCCACTGTTGGTTTAAGTTCCTGATTCACCACGAGGAGGAGAGCTGCCCTTGGAATCCAAACCTCCTCAGGAGTTTACATATAAGAAATAATGTTGTATTATGTTATGTACTGAAATTTTAAGGTCTTTTTGTTACTACAGCCTATTCTACCCTAACACAAGGTGGGATCAGGAAGCAATTTTATTTTCATTTCTCTGTATCTATGTAAACCCACTTTGTGGAATACAGTCTCATTCTGCCCCTAGATAAAATTTAAGGCAGGTTCTGTGACCTTTCTGGTCATGTGTAGATAATAAAAGGTTATCTGGTCACTCTAATTCCCCAAGTAGTTCAGTAATTAAATGGTCTAGTCTCATGTAATGGTAAAAACTTCAAACTTTATTTAAATTCCAGGCCTTTCCCCTTTCTTTGTGGCATTTACAGACCAGCTGCCCTCACTGGAAATTGAGGTATGCAGAGATTTCTCATTTCCCACTTTGTGCTTTGTGTCAGAAACTCCTATTGTCCCCCAATATTCATTTTCCTCCTTTTTCTTGTTAATTGAACTCCCAAGTTTTTGTGGATTTGTGGCTACACCAAATAAAGACTACATTTCTTAGCATCCCTTGAAAGTAGGTGTGGCCATACGAATAATTTGGCAACAGGGTCTGAATAAAGGAGTGAGCAACCCAGGTGCCACCATATTCTCCTGTTTGAATTCCCAGGCCACCTCACCCAGGGCCACATGCAGCAGGATTCCACCAGTGCTGCTGTCACTGCTGTCATCCCCACCAGGTCAGAGGCTCTGATCCCAGAGTTGGTACAGGTAGTATTTTAAGAGTGAGTTCCAAAAACGTAAGCTGAGTTTCCCTGGTTCTTTCTAGTCTACACAGATGCGCAAATGGGGCTACCATAAGGTAGTAAGCCAAATTTCAGTGTCTCTTCCAAACTCCTAAAAGCCTCCTTCTCTGTCCAAGTACTGCTGGGCTCTTAGGAAAGTCTTACAGATGCTCATAAATCCAGTCATCCAGGTATACTTTCATTTTGCTCCTGCGAGCATCGCCCCCAATAAATAAGTTCTCAAGGTACAAAATCCCATACTGGGGTATGTCTGTACCCAGGGGGGAAAGGGCTTTCCCTCTCTTTAATGTTCCACTTCATTAGAGGGCTGCCCAAGCAATGCCTGTGCGCTCCAGGGTCTTACAGAACTTCTGGAACTGCAGATTCATATTGACATTCAATCTTCCTTTTGCCTGGGAAGGAGGACTAGAGATGATGACAAATTACATCCACTTACTCTTTAATTCAACAAATATTTCCTGAATTCCTTTTCCATGCTAGCCATGTGGTACAAGATACATGTGGTCTCTGTACCCATGGAGTTTACAGCCTGTTGCAAGACGAAAACAAAACACACAACAACAAAAGTCACTTAAAATTTTACATTCAAGACTTTGTTATTGGGTCCAGTTCATTGTGGATGATTGCTGCTTCTGCTTGGGTGAGCTTTGCGCATGAAGCTTGGCAACCCTCAGGCAAATAGATGTTGACAGTCTGCCTCACCATGTGGGGCACAACCCCTCCTTATCCCATGGGGCCTCGTGCAGGAGATTAATCCTTGCTGTGCTAAAATTGTCTGATTTTTTTTCACACTTAGTGACAGTTAAAGAAAAACATGAACTGTGTTTTCCCAAGAGCTTTCTCCCTACCATTCCACACCATGGTTCCTAAACTCTCCATTTCCTGAAGCAAAACTGGATAGCAAAGAGAATGGTCTGGTGGCTCTGATAATAACACTGTAAGAGGAGGCCAAGGATTTGTTAACCCTGGCAGAAGAGGGAGGCAGGCCAGTGCAGACATGGGGAGGTAGGAAATTTTGAGAGAAGGTGAAAGGAAGGCTCACAGAGGGGGAAGTGGAAGGTTGAAGAAAGAAGTACGGGAGGAACTGAGGGAGGTCTTGGAGGCACATTCTCTGTCGGCCTAGGAAACCCCACACAGAGATAAACCGAAGTTCTGGGCAGCAGGTACAAGGCAGGAAGCACCTAGTGCATCCCTCT